AAAAGAAAAGAAAAAAGAAAAAAGAAAACAAACAAAAAAAGAACAAAGATATGGATCAAGTACTATGCCCTCATGAGCATTCAGGAAAATGGACCCTGAAGTTCCGCGCATGCCAGAAAACAGCGCGAGCACCTCTGCAGGGCTGGGGTTTTCTGCACTGTGCCCTGCACATCTGCCTGCCCTACAGGGCTTACTGAACGGAGGGGAATTCACTGAATGGAATTAATCCCAGCTAGTTATTTAAAAAAACCTGAAGACAAATCTGTGCTGCCAACCAGAAGGGGAAACAAGTAATCAAGAAGCTCTTTCGGTGAGAAAAATCATAATATTTTAGGTCCAGAAACCGAGGGCAGACTCTGGCTCTTACTGCTCTTGATAGGGGGAGGTAATTAGTTGTATCCGGTTTATCTACTCACTTTGTTCCAATTCAAGAACTCTGGAGGAACATGCGCATATTTTCCCACTCCTAAGTAAAGCTGTGTGTGTTTTGAATGGCAGCTCTGCCGCTCACAATGGCTTGGTTGTGGTCAGTGGTGAGAGAACTAGTGTCATTTGCTTCCCAATCTGGGCAAATATTTTACAGTGTCCTGGGTTTGTGTGTGCGGCTCCTGGCAACATTACTTTCCTTGGATATACTTTAATCTCAGTGTTCAGTTGCTTCTGATTTGCTTCAACATCCTTAAATTAATTTCTTTTTCTTTTTCTTTTTTTTTTTTTTTTTTTAAAGGGGACATAGTAAAGCCTCATTATTCAAGTCTGTTTTGTGAAATCCAGACAGATACTAGGGATTGTGTGGAGTTAAAGGGAAAGTTTATGTTTTTAAATATTCTCCTCTGCTGTCTTGCATTCCTGAATTTCTATGAGCTCTGGCAGAAACCAAAGTCAGATTTTTAAGTGGGTTTGGACTCCAAGGTCGTACAATTGTTCTTTGTTATTGTTTAAAAACTGGCTTCTGTGTTACCAACAGACCCGGCCCTTTCTCCACTCCCCAGAACTTCTCTTGGCTTTCTCCCTTCCTCACAGCAGGACAGAATTCCAGCAATTGTCTGCTTTCTAATTCAGAAATTACTCCGTTCATGTGTTGTGGTCCAAGAAAATTACATACAAGGATATTTTGAGAGTCACATAAAAATGTTGTAAATCAGCTCTGTGTTTGAAAAGTCAGACTAAAAATAAGCATGTCTTGGAGCATGGGTCCCCTTGGTCTGTGCTCTACGTTTTACAGGTTTTGGTTTTGCTGGGGGTTCATTGAGTTTTCTGATTTCTGTTGTTATATCAGAAGAATTCTGGGCAAGTAGCTGCAACTGGAAATGATGCTGAACAGCCACAGCTTCAGGATGGTTGAGCTCCTCAAGCTGGACTAGGCCTGTTCAGTAGAAAGATGTGAATAAGTTTTTCAGTTCTAGAAGAAAAATTGAAAATAAGTACCAGAATTGTAATTCTTCTTAGGACTGGAGAGATAGCTCAGCGGAGGCTTCCCTATATATAACATATACATCATTGCATATATAATGCATATGTGTGTGTTTCCCATGTCACTGAATTGCTGAATTTTGGGGAGTGTTTCTCTCTTGCTGTGTAGCCCAGGCTGCCCTGAACTCAGTGATCCTCAGCTTCGGCCTCCTGAGTGCTGAGATTGCCCGTGTGTGCCACCACGCCCGCCCCATGGCACATCGGCTGTGTTGTGCCCTGGGTTCTTTACTGCACTCCTGTCTCTGGCTTACTTTTTGTTACTGGGGATGGAACTCAGGACCTTGCACTTGCCAGGCAGGTTCTTATGCCACTGAGCTATGTTGCTGGCCCCTGTCTCTGGTGTTAACACTAGAGAGTAAATACTCAGTCTAGCCTCTTCTATAGCCACTAAACCTCTCCTCTTGTTCCCACTCCCGTGTGATTCTGTCCTTAGAAGGCACCCATTGTCCTCTTTTGAGCCTCTCTGGTAGGACCTGAGTTCCCTCTGCTTTTCCCAGTCTCAGGGTCTTGGTGGTCAGTGTTAACTGGCCTGTGTGGTCAGGTTACTGCTTGCTCATCGGCGTTTTAACTTCCGAGTATTTCTTTTCATCTCTTAAGTGTCTTCAGTATTACTATTATCTCGTGGGATTTTAGAAAGGACCAGAGATAAAGGTCTGTGTCCAGTCACGTGGAGAAGTGTCCTTCATCACCGTGCCTCAGAGACAGCCTTCCAGCTGGGGCACCGTGGTAGCCCGCAGCACACACACACTGCTTGGTTCTCCCTGAGCTTCCCCTCTCCGAAGCTCCCGCTGCCTGTGGGCCTCAGCGTGCTGCTCTCCTACCTACAACTGTAGCAAAGAACACATTACTCTTCCCTTTGGTGATTGGTCTCGGAAACCTTAGACAGCATAGGGGCAGGCAGAAGCTAACTTTTGCTTTTAGCACGGTGAAGTATATAAAGGAAAGGAGGCACCTAGTTTAATTTGATTTCTTTTTTAATATAGTATTTATGCTGATGCACACCTGTAATCCCAGCACTCGGGAGGCTGAGGCAGGATGATTGCCATGAGGTCAAGGTCAGCCTGGGCTACACAATGGCCTCAAGGCCAGCCTGAATGAATGAGATCCTTTCTCAAAAAACTAGACCAAGGATCCCAGAGATAGTTCAGTGGTCTAAACGCCTGCCTAGGCAAGCACAAGGACGTGGGTTGGATCCCCGTACCATGTGCTGGGCCTGCCTGCCTGCTCCAGGAGCGTCAAACTAGCCACTAAGACTGGGTATGGTGGTGCACACCTGTAATCTCAGCGCTGGGGAGGCTGAAACAGGAGGATCACTAGGAGTCTGAGCTGTGTAGTGAGACCCTGTACCAAACACATGAAATTTAAAAAAAGAAAAAAGAAAAAAGAAAACTAGATCAGAAACCAAATGACCAAACCAGACAAACCAAACCAAATAAAACAAAAACCCATTGTGGTCAGCAGAAGGCATGTAAGTGAAAATCTCTGAAAAACAAATTAACCAAACAGCCTTAATGTTCGCTTACTCTTGATTATATAATCAAATTACGATCACAATGCAATACATAATTACCTTAGATGCAGAAGCTGGGCAGCACATTCATAGGATGTTCCAAGTGAATAAATTATTGTAGTAGCCTTTATAAACAGGGTTACAAGGAAGGTTATTTAAAAATTCCTCTATTCCATAATGAATGAAGCATACCTGTGGATTTATTGACACAGAAAAATAAGTATGTTTAGACAGCAGTAGCCTTTTGGAATTTAATTTTAGGCCAACTAGAAATTCCTACTCAGCTAAACATTAATGCAGCAAGCTCATATCTACATTTGTAAACTGAGTTGTTGGGATTTTATTTCCCCCTTGCATTTGCATGTGCTGCGTGCATCTCCAAAGAAGAATTCGGTCCCTGGGTGGCTTTGTGTTCGGCATCCGCCCATCCTCTCCCCCATTCTCCTCTCAGGTTTGATTCTGCAGTAGGTCTTGCCACGCCTGTGTAACACACACACACACACACACACACACACACACGCGCGCGCGCGCGCACCTATGTCTCCTAACTGGAAGGAAACCACAGGAGAAAACATTACTGAAGACACCCACTTTCCCTGCTGTGTAGACCTGATTCACTAAGAAAATAGGAAATAGGAAGAGGTCAAAAGCAAATCCCTCCCGGGAAGTTACACACACTCAGGGCCTGGCGAGCCGCAGCTGTGGGTGTAATTATTTTTTCTCCGCGCTCTCTCCACAGGGAGACACTTCGCCTCTTCCGCCCACGCTCCCAGACTGTCTGCGGGCTGATGTCAGGGTTGCTCCCTCCGACAGCCAAAACTGTTCCCTCTACTTAACAGACAAGAATGTCACCCACGGCTTCCTCTACCCTCCGGGTGAGTAGGCTCCTGGGGAGCGAGCCAGGGGCAGCTGGCCCCGCGCTGGCCTCGCTCATCCTGCCTCCTGCACATCCTGGAGCTCCGCGGCGATGCGCGTGCGTGGGGCTCCGCGGGCTTCAGCTTCATCCCAAGGCTGTCCAGGGACCAACGGGAGGAGCATCGCCAAACCTCTCATCTCCCTCTCGGCCTCTCTCCCTCCTTCCTTGTCTCTGTCTTTCTTCCTCTCTCTCCTTCTCTCCTCCTCTGCCCAGCCTGGGTCTGCTGCAAACGCAGCTGTTTGCCTGAATCACAGGCACGCTGGAGTGCAGGCTCTTGGTTCCAGCGGCGTCCCGCAACCAGGGCAACGGCAGGGGCTTTGGTTTTCAAAGGAGGATGTCTCTTGGGAACACATCAAAGCCAGAATAAATTTTGTGAAACTCACATCTCCTCCTTATTAAGTAGGAAACATCATTGTTACAAGATTTTCAATACGTTCAGTTTTTAGGAATGAATTTACTCTTTTTTT